ATTAGGGTTGCTCTTCAGGACTGTTCATGGTGTATTAGTTTTTAGCATTGGATGCTTGTGTATTTTGTGTATGACCAGAGAACAGTGTCTGTATTGTACATTTATCACAATGAAAACTTGGGAGGAGTAGCTGTTCAAAACAGGCACAGTACTTGTTCTGCATTCTACTTAGATTAATTATCATTGCTCATAGGCATTCTTTCATTGCTCTGGTTGGCTGTTTAATACAGTGGAATTGTTGAAAGCTGATGCTATGAGAATCAACCATAGGCCTTGCTGTGGTATATATGACCATTTATAAATGATAATTTTAAGGGGCTTATGATTCAGTCATAACAGTTAGCTCCAGGTTGAAATTTGATGTTTGATGGCAAAAGTCTATTCTAGGACATGTAAAGGAGAAAATTACCTCTGTCCTTTCTGAGTTATCCAAATACAAATTTATTTTGAATAATTCTTCTGTTAAGGACTCATTTGCATTTGTTCAGTACCACAGAGAATTTATTTTGGAAAAAAATGAATTTTTTCTCTCAGTTTCTTCTATAGACTAGTATTTGTGATGAGAGTTTGTTTCAATTTAAGAAAATGAGTTGCTGCACAGGTGAGGTAGTATTTGAATCACTTAAAAGTTCATGTCAGTGTTTTGGTTCTTTTCAGTTTTTCCTTTCTCTTTTGTTTTCTTTCCTTCTTTTGTTTATTTATTTTTTGCTTTGTTCTGTTTTGTTTTATTTATTTATTTTTGGTTTTAGTTTTTACAGGGGGTGTTTTGGGCTCTTCATGGCCTTGCTGACATTCTTGGCTGGCCATATTTAGTCTGCGCACTAATTATTAGTTGGCCCAGTTGAGTCTTACTTTGTGCTCTCAGTTTTTTTAGTCTGGTTTTCTATTTTTGTCCACCTGGTTGTATTTTAAGTTCATGAGAGATTTTTATCCTGATGGGCCGGATTTTAATCCGTGTACTAAATTTTAGTCTGCAGACTAAAAATAATCCGCGGATTATTTATTTTTGCAAAATATTTAATTCCCCCACTGGAAACTATCCTAAAAGAATGTTAAATTCTCTTAGAATAGCCAAGGGAATTCACAGCTACTGGTGAGGTCTGCCATTTTTTGTTCTCAATACCTAGACATAATAGACCCTACTACCTCCCTTTTGCATAATTGGCTCCGTTGTGCCTAGGTGTTGGTGTACATTACTATGCATGTCACCTATAACTGTGACTGTCCCTTAGTTGTATTGTTCATTGTATATATTTTTGTTTAGCTTTTGGTGGGTGAATTGGGCATATTTGCAGATGGAACTGTGTTGAATTTGTAGTGCTCAAAGTTATAGAATTTTTTTCAGTGAGTTTTTCCAAAAAGAAAGAATGTTCATTATTTTTCCTAAGTAATGGGTGCAAGGGTATCAGGGGGCAAAGCCCACAATAGAAAAAGTAAGTTTATACCCGCACTCCTGAGGTGATATGTCAATTTCCTGAAGAGTCCTCTAAGATAATGAGAATGTCAGTAAACATCTCTTAGCAGGGAAGTCAATCCAAAATGGAGAATAATCCGCGGTGGCCTGATCCTTCTTAGCTCACACAAATTGAAAATATCTGGCTTGAAATCTATAGTAATATAAATTAAATATATTTATTACTTTTCTCTCATCACTAATAATTTAGCAAAAAATGTTTATACTGTGTACTGAAATTCATTAATAGAGAAAATTAGCAAATTGGGAACTTGTATCTTTAAAAGCAGTCTGATATGCCCCCTCCCAAGCCATGTCAATGGACAATGAATCCAGGTCGTAGAAGACCAAATACTTTACTTTGGGAACTTTACTTCTAGATTTCATTTTGATTTTAACTTTTTTTGGTTTTGTATTTTTTTAATAAACGCACTGGCATCGGAACATAATTAACTAAAATTAAAATGTTTCTTTACTGTGCCTCACCATTGCGCAATCAAATTTTTTTTGCATACACTGTGGTGAAATAATTTTTAAAACTTGGACTTGCTACTGTGAAGACTGATGTTTAAAGTTTATAACTGTATAAACATTTTCTATGTCCCCCCCCCCACACCATGGATTTCTTATAACATTGGATATATTTTTCCTTGCTGGACTATTCTCTTTTGGATTGACTTCCCCTGTTTGGATTATTTCACTGCATTCTCATCTTTAGGATTCGTCAGGAACAGGACATTTCACCTCAGGAGTTCGGGTATGTACTTAATTTTTTTTTCCCAAAATTTCAGGGCAGGTCTATAAAACTAGGGGGAAAACTTTTTTTGAAAGGCTAAACAGTTATTCATTCTTGAAATGTAATAGTAAAAACAATGTAGGTAGCTGTGATTTCTGTTTTTACTCACTGTATGGTATAGGTTTTGCTTATAGTATATTTAGATTGTCAGTTTCCTGAGTGATTTATTGACATCTAAGCCGAAGTTTAGGAGTTGAGGGGTTTAAAAATTATTATTTTTACAAGAATAAATATTGACAAAGATCCACAGAACCAAAGATTCCGAGTGTTAGGCAATTTAAATGAGTAAGGAATGAAAAGCAGCAGAAACTAAAAGCCAAGGACTTCCATGGCAGTCCAGGGGTTAAGACTCTGTATTTCCACTGAAGTGGGGACGGGTTCGATCCCTGGTTGGGGAAGTTCCGCATGCCGCGCATTGCAGCCCAAAAAAAAAAAAAAGAAGCCAAATCTCAATAGTTACTGGTTTCCTTTTCTTTAGACACAGACATAATTCAGAAGAGCTATTTCTAGTTTGGCCTGTAATTTTTGAAAGTTGCGTGCTACTACACCCAGTCTTATGATCAGAAATCTGAACTTTGGGTACACTGGGTTTTGACCCCACATAATTTTCCACTTAACCTTTATCCATAGATTACTGAACCAAGACTTTTCTCATTAAGAATCTCTCAAGGGGTTTAAATTAATAATGGATACATTTTTAAAAGGCAGGTTAAGTCTTAATTTCAGGCTCTTGGAATTAATTCTTTTCTTTATTGTTTTTAACTCTTTGATACTGTGAATTAGGATTCCCTGGCAAGAATAAGCTAATATGTGTCTTAGTACCAACATGGATGGTCACTTGTAGCCAGTAAGAAACCAGAAAGATGTGGATGGCTTTTTTTTTTTAATAATCAGAAATAAGCTTACAATACTGATTTATTAATAGCAATAACACAAATTTTTTTTCCCATTTAAACTACACTCACTGTGTAGCCACCCTGCATTGGAATGTTAGAAGATACTTATTTCTGCTTTTGGTGGTGGTACTTTTAATTCTACTTACGTGTTACCATATTGGTGCAGAGACATTTTTATTAGACTAGCTAGCAAAATAAATCCATATGCTGTCAAATGCAAATTGCCCTCAGGGATAAAACATGTCAGTAGTGCTTAATATTTTTATGAAAAATTTTCTAAATATTTCCACTGATTATTTTCTTTCACACTTTGATTATGGTTCTGACTGGGGAGCAAGAAAGGGGAAAATGACTAAGAACAGTGTAAGATCTAAACATTTCAAATAATACAGTAACTCCTTGACTGAGGCAAGTCAGATTACTCAAAAGAATAAAGATAAAGCCGTTTTTGACCTTAGAGAGAGGGTTTTCTAACAAGCCAAATAAATTAACTAAGACTTTTAATGTTCGGAAATAAATTTCTAATATCCTACCCAAGCCAATCTCTCAATTTCCATGGAAAATATCTTTATTAATAATAAACTTTGTGTAAAAACAAAAGGAATAAAAAAAGATTTTCAGAGTAGAGTACTCTTATAAATAGTCTCTTATAACCTAAGGAGTCTGTAGTAGTAACCAGTTCTCCTGCTTTCAGCCTAGGCGAATAGACAAATGTTACATGAGCCTTTCTCGTTAGGAAAACTTAAGCCTCCCAGGCTCCTCTGTGCCTTGTCACAATCTACATGTTCTTTCCTCACTTTTAGGTCTATTTCCCTCCATTTTTACACATCTCTTTCTCTTTATGTGTCTGTCCACCTCCACCACTGCCACTACTACACCTTCTATTTGATTCTGTGTTCTTCCTGTCAAAGGATATATGTTTCATTTTTCTTTAGTTTCAAAGGCTTTCTGTTCGTTTATTTGTTTTTCCCCTTATTTTATTCTTTAACTGTTCATAATTTAGAACACAGTATATTTTTCATAGTTTCATGTATTTATTAGGAGTTTTAAGACATAGATGAGTAGAAAGCTTTCTATTCCTTTAAGCAAATTTATTTATTTGCATTTTGCTTCAGTATAGCTTTCAGTTTACTTTTTCTGTGAATTAATAGCTCTTAATGAAAAATACATTTCTCTATTCCTGATTAAAACCCTAGAATATTTATTCAAATGAGGGTAAACTGGCCGTGTTCACGACAACAGCTACCTGAGAAAACAGTTTTGGACATTTTGTGAAGTTCTGGATATTCAAGAATTTCTTCAAATAATAATAGTCTCTGCTTATTGAAGAATGAATACCAAATCATTAATATTTATAGACTAAGAGTAAAACAGCTTTTCTTTTTTAAAAGATATTAATTGCCAAAATTTGAACAGTGCTGTCCATTATCCATAATCATTCTGCTAAAAAAATCACACAAAAGAGGCAACGTTTTATCTATTGCCACAGCAGTCAAAACTTTAAAATTAATTTTGTATTCTCCTAGTTGCGCTTGCCTCCAGAACCCAGGCTTTCTTTTGTGCCTGTCACATTTTGTGTGCATGTTTGATTGTACTGCTTTATGATTAGCATATATAGATTTTTTTCCATTTCCCCTAGTTTTTTCTCTGAGCTTTTCTCATATAGTCTTTAATTAGCAGTTCACATCACTGTGGTAAATCATGTGCAGTTAACTCCTTTCATTCTAGAAGGTTCCTTTCACAAATGCAACCATGTTTTTGTACATGGTGGGAATTAACTCAGTACTCAGAGGATAATTTGCTAAGATTCTTACAAGGAAACATTAATTGTACCTTCTCTTTTTTTATACCATAGGTCTTCCGACCTCGAACTCCACCAGAGGCGATTGCACTATGTAGCCGTCTGCTGGAGTATACCCCAACTGCCCGATTGACACCACTGGAAGCTTGTGCACATTCATTTTTTGATGAATTACGGGACCCAAATGTCAAACTACCAAATGGGCGAGACACACCTGCACTCTTCAACTTCACCACTCAAGGTAACTCCTAACACGTAATTCTTTTACCATTTCTGGGAAAATTACACATGTGTGTGAAGTGACACTCTGTTAATTAAATCTGTGTAGGATAAAAGTAGGCATATTAAGTACTTATGCAGGTAGGAAGCATCCTTTCTAACCACTTATTAGGCTACCACTTGTATGGTTTTGGACAAAATAATGGCAGGTAAAAAGTTTCAAATAGGCATAGCTTCTCTAATTTTTAGCAGATTATAATAAATCTTGGCACTGGAGAAGTTATATAGAGATTTCACTGAGTGAGATTTATCACTAGTAAGACTAATGTATAATTTAACCTTCAGCTTTGTATATGAAACTTAGAATATTAAAATTTCTTGCTTCCCAAGGATTTATATCAAGTTTTTTTAACCTGGGAATAAATTGGTGGCATATTTTTGTAATTTTAGACATTATACAGATGGGGAAAACTAGAGTCCTATAAACCCCTTCTTGGAACTTAATATAACTTTATATATAAGGGATGTAGAAGAGAAATTCTTATCCCTTCTGGGGCTTGGCATCATTGCTGCTGAGAAAACACTGATTGGAAACTAAGTTTGTGTATTGGTGGTTTCTAAAAAGCCCAGGGATAGTCATTTCTTCACCATTTCTGTGTTCATTTTTCATTCATTCATCAACCACACTGCCTCTGATGATATGATTTTCTTCCTAAACTGAACATTAAATGTGTACAATTCCCTATAGATAAAACAAGGAATAAATAGATTGTTTTCATTGATTAGTCAAGCTAAAAATATAGAAGGGGGATGGAGAGCTTTCTGTGATCAGGAAATAGATATATTTCCTTTATTATAAAGCCAATTTTTCCACCATATTTAAACTTTTCTAAAATTGATTGTGGAAAAATGTGCTGCTTAAACTTTAGATTTGGAACATCTAAGTTACTAGTAAAAGAGACCTGGATGATTCAGTTGACTATAATCTTAAGCTGTCACTATTATGTAATGCTGGTAATGCTGATGTAGTCTACGTTCATCTAAGAAAAATGTCCAGGTATCCTGGGACTATTAATTTTGACTAGGGCTGATCAGAAATCACTTGAAATGTTGTTTTAAGTCCTGACTATGCCTCTCTAAGAAGAATGTTAATGAATGCCAGGTAGGGTATACAAAGGAGCAGAATTGGATATAGAGCCTGGAAAAGTGAAGACTTAAGGGACTCCTGAGAAAAATACCTCAAATAAAGACCTCAGCCCCTGGCATAAATAGAGACTAAATAAAATTATTGATGAATCAATAAAGAAGTTTTCAACTGGTAATAGTGGAACAAGCTGTTTTCAGAATATTGATCTGTATATCAGGGAAAAGCTGGATGATGTCAAATATTGTAGATAAGATGATTCCAATTTGGCAGAAGGTTAGACTGGGAGACTCTTGGCCTCTTCCAGAACAGAAATTCATTGATTCCATGTCATACAAGTTTTAGACCTCTTGAGAAAATAAATTTTATTTTTAATTCTTACTGCTTTTGTTTTAATCGAGTAATACATGTAGATGGAAGAAAATGTTGAAAATGCAGAGGAGGTAGAGAAAATTAAAATCACAATCCCGAAGTAATTACTTTTAGCCTTCAAAATAATCACTTTTAGCATTTTATGGTGTAGCTCTTTTCAATTTTTTTTCTAATGCTAAAGCTGGTAATCCTTGAATATAAAGTGATCCTCTATTTTCCCATTTAGAAGATCCCAAAAGGGTTCTTTTTGTTAACTTGAATATATTGAAAATTATATGTTATATAAAGTTAATATTAGGTTAGGAATTTTTTTTACGTCTCAAATTTCATAAAACAATTTTTTTCAAACTCTATATGCATCTTTTACATCTGTGTCTTTGTTATCAGTAGAGCTACTTTTTGAACCATCTATATAGTTGTTTAGGTTACATCACCTAAAGTTTTTAATATGAAGCACTTTTTGAATCTGTCTGAGACCGCCATTGGAAATTCTACATGTATCCATTTACATAACACGATACATTTTTTTCCTTTTTGTACTGTAGGTATATATTTATTGTCTGCATAATATAATTATTTAGTGGATTGCTTTTTAAAGTGGTATTTAGGGCTTCCCTGGTGGCGCAGTGGTTGGGAGTCCGCCTGACGATGCAGGGGACACGGGTTCGTGCCCTGGGCCGGGAGGATCCCACATGCCGCGGAGCGGTTGGGCCCGTGAGCCATGGCCGCTGAGCCTGCGCGTCCGGAGCCTGTGCTCCGCAATGGGAGAGGCCACAGCAGTGAGAGGCCCGCGTACCACAAGTGGTATCTAAAAGGTTTTTGTATACAGTGACATCCAGTGGAGCTGTGGAGTCTTGACATCAGAAACTACTAAGTCAGTGCTAAATTTCTTTACCTCTTTTTTTACCATTTCTGTCAGGTAACTTTAAAGTTTCCCAAATTTTGAAGGGAACCTTGATTGAGTTTTTTCCCATGCTAAGTATCTTCTCCAGCAAGTACTTTGTTTCTCAGAATACAGAAATTAAGACAGCCCCTTGTCAAGTGAACAAATTGGTAGAAACTCAAATGCATACAAGGTGATATTTATGATGGATACATTTTGGAGAATAATTCTCCTTAAATTGAGACATATTTTGATACATACTCTTCAATGTGTGTGTGCAGCTGTATGTGTTGATTGAAAATGAGATGCTGCTTAAACCTTTTTTTGATCAGATTTTAAAATCCAGGATTCAGTTTCACTGTTCCCATGCACCATTTTTGAAGTAATTACATTTAACTCTTTAGTCACTGGCTAATAATTTTCTATTATTACTAAAGAAAATAAAATTTAAAACAACTAAGTTTGTTATTTTATGAATTTCTAAGCCTTTTAAAAAACTGAGATAAAATTCACATAGCATAAGATGAACCATTTTAAAGTAAACAATCCAGTGGTGTTTAATACATTCACAGTGTTGTGCAGCTATCACCTCTGTCAAATTCCAAAACATTTTCATTGCTCCTGAAGAAAACTCCATACCCATTAAGCACTCAGTCTCCATTAATCCCTCCTTCAGCCCTTGGTAGCCACCAATCTGCTTTCTGTCTCTATAGATTTCCCTATTCTGGGTACTTCATATGATGGAATCACATAATGTGGGATTCTTTCACTTAGCATGTTTTCAGGGCTCATCCATGTTGTAGCATGTATCAGTATTTCATTCCTTTTTATGGCAGAATAATATTTCATTATATCATGTCTTAATCAGTTCAGGCAACTATAACAAAATACCATAGACTAGGTGGATTAAGCAGCAAACATTTATTTATTTTTTTTTAAACATCTTTATTGGAGTATAATTACCTTACAATGATGTGTTAGTTTCTGCTGTATAAAAAAGTGAATCAGCTATACATATACATATATCCCCATATCTCCTCCCTCTTGCGTCTTCCTCCCACCCTCCCTATCTCACCCCCTCTAGGTGGTGACAGAGCACCGAGCTGATCTCCCTGCGCTATGCAGCTGCTTCCCACTAGCTATCTATTTTACATTTGGTAGTATATATAAGTCCATGCCACTCTCTCACTTCGTCCCAGCTTACCCTTCCCCCTCCCTGTGTCCTCAAGTCCATTCTCTATGTCTGCATCTTTATTCCTGTCCTGCCCCTAGGTTCTTCAGAATCTTTTTTTTTTTTTTTTTTAGATTCCATCTATATGTGTTAGCATACGGTGTTTGTTTTTTCTCTTTCTGACTTACTTCACTCTGTATGACAGACTCTAGGTCCATCCATCTCAGTACAAATAACTCAATTTCGTTTCTTTTTATGGCTGAGTAATATTCCATTGTATATATGTGCCACATCTTCTTTATCCATTCATCTGTCGATGGACACTTAGGTTTAAGCAGCAAACATTTATCTCTCACCGTCCTGGAGGTTGGGAACATCAAGATGAAGATGCCGGCAAATTCAGTGTTTGGCAGGGGCCCACCTCCTGGTTTGCAGATGGCTACTTTTTGCTCATATGGTGAAGAGAGATCACCTCTCTTGTGTCGCTTCTTATAAGACCACTAATCCCATTCATGAGGGTTCTACCCTCATGACCAAATTTCCTCCCAAAGGCTCCACTTCCAGATACCATCACATTGTGGATTAGGGCTTCAGCATATGAAGTTTAAGGGGGCACAAACCTTCAGTCCATAGCATAGGGATATACCACATTTTGTTTATCCATTCATGTACTGATGGACATTTGGTTTGTTTCTACCTCTGGCTATTGTGAATAGTGCTGCTCTTACCATTGTCTACACGTATGAATTTGTTTGAATATTTGTTTTCAGTTTTTTGAGTCATATGTTAATTCTATGTTTAATTTCTTGAGGAACTACCAAACCATTTTGCACAATGGCTTGCACATTTTACATGCCTACCAGGAATGTTACAGGGGTCCCCATTTCTTCACATCCTCACAAATACTTGTCTTACTTTTTTTTTTTTAATAGCCGTCTCAGTGGGTGTGAAGTGGTATCTCATTTGATCCTAAGGCTTACTGCAATATAATGATTTAGAACCTGGTAAATGCTATTTACCTGTTCTCTAGTAAATTGTGTTCATAAGACAGATTAACATGAAAATAAATTGGCTTAGATTTTAGAATATGGTCTCTAAAATATTGGAAGGACTTTTGTGAGTGGGCAGTTTTCATATTGTCAAATAATAGAATCAACTAAAGTAAAGAAAAGGCTCATTTTAAAGAGTAAATAATTTAATTCAGACTTTGTTCACACATATCTAATTGTTACAAGTTTTTAAAAAGGAATGAAGAATGTTTTATTTTGATATTTCAACTTTTTATATTTGCCCAGGATATCAGACATAAATATGACTCTGTGTATGTCTGAATGTACAAATGACTTTGAGGAGTTGAAGAATATGTGTGTACATGAATGTGGTATATGTAGACATGGCATGCAATCTCTGGCTGTCAGACTCTTTATGTGATTCTGTGGATATCAGTGAAAA